TTTGTCTCTGCGGAACACTAATTGCGTCCCCCTTTGGCTTTCGGTTTCTGTCTGAACGGGAACAGGCCTGTGTGGGGGAGAGGAAAGGCGTGGGGCTGCCGAGCAGAGCAGTGAAGTCATCTTTCGAGATAAAGGAAGGAACCATTTTGTGCACGCCAGCCTTGCCAAGATATTCAGACTTTAGGGCAAAATGGAGCTGTCCTCCTGGGCACTGGCAGCCATTTTGTGACTGGTATGCAGAACAGCGAGGAAGCAAAATAGCTGCCTGAAGCCACCCTCCGCCTGCCGTTGTCTAAAAACAGCCTGGATCTGGGTGAAGAATGTGACTTTGGGAACAGGGTTTTCATGCCTTAAAGAGGCTAGGGCTGCAGGAAGGGTTAGAACAGCCATGTTTCCTGCAGAAAAAGAAGCACCCGTCTTTCTTGCTGAGGGAATGTAGTGTCTCTAGCGTGGCAGGGAGTGGAACACTTGTGTATTCGGCACATGCTCAGAGGCACTCTTATGGTGATTTTTTTAAATAGGGCTTGTGCCTGGGAGGAAAATACACATTGAATATGCTCAAAAGTGTCCGACTCTAGTTGGAGGTCTCAAATCAACCAGAGTTTTTTCAGGAAGAGCCCAGGCTTGATTTCTTCTTGGCTTCTTTGGTATGGAAAGTATTAGCCTAACTGGCAAATGAGGAAAATAAGCCTTTGGGGGGGCCTAGGTCTATTTGAGGCTGTAACGATTCCTTGTTTTATATGTGTGTATGTCTCTTTAAAAGTGTGGTTGCATGGCTGTGTGATAGACTAGAGTGCTTGAAGAGACAAGTGTGGTGTGCTAGGTGGTTGACAGAGAGGGGGAGGGGTTTTGGAAGTGTTTCTGAGTGGATGAAAATGTATGTCTGTCAAGAGTGACAGTTACAGTTGAGACAGTTGATGAAGATAGTGGAACAGTTAGTTGGTGCTTTCTGAGGTCTGTGAGAGAAGCAAAGAAAAGTTCAGTTCTGTGTATGAAGGAAGTTAGAGAGAATAAGAAAAAGTAAATGAAAGCTTAATTGAAGACAAAATATAAGAAAGGCTGTATGTCCTGTTAAACTGGAGAGTAACAGTGAACTTATAAGACCTTGAGTTAAAGTTCCAAAGTTACCTGAAAAATCCCTGACAGAAAGGGAGCTGATCTTGTGTGAGACACTAAGCAATGGTTGAAAATATTCATATTACTGGTTACATTGTTATGCCCTTTTATTTATGAACTGTTTCAATAAATCTTCTTTTATTTAAGTCTGCCAGCTCTGAAAGAAATAATTCCTCAAGAAACACATAGTCCCTCATGAGACTTAAAAACTCGACCTACCTATCCAGTGATAGCTAAAAGAAAGTATAAAGGTTTGGAAAGCCTAAAATTTCCTGGTGGCAGCCTAACCTACCCAGCTGAACAAAATAAAAAGAACCCTTTTAAAGTGAAACCAGGCCTCCCCAGATAAGGGGTCCTCACAGAGGCACTTTAGAGACCGAAGGAGAACTGTATCTGTCTAGTGGCACCTTTAAGTCCAGCAAAGTTTAATTCAAGACATAGGTTTTAGGGTGCATGCACACTTCTTCAGATACCTGTCTAGAATCTGTCTAGAAACCATTAGGCTATTGTACTTCTAAATTAACTCTTATTTATATTTAAGTGAAAAGACCTCTTTTATTGAGAGTAAAGGATCCCCTTTTACCTCAGACACAGAGCCTCCCCCAAGTGCTGACCCTTCTGCCTTCCTACCAAAAGCACAACTCAGCCATCCTGTTCTTTGGGTTAAACTAAGAAATCTTGGGTAAGAGCCTTTGGTGGCAGCAATAAGTAGAAAATGTGGAGGAAGGCAAAGAGGCAGCAGAACAGATGCCATTTTAGAGCACTACAGAGAGGTGCCTTTGTGGGTGTTATATATACAAGGGGTCTCCGAAAGGGACAAAGATGTGACAGGTGTCGGCTTTAGCGGTGGGATATCAACTTGAGGGAATATTGACTCGAAGGGTTATTGTGGTGCCGAGAGAGTAATGAGAGAATTCAAAGAGGGTGGAATATACATCTGCGGGGGGGGGGGGGGATAATTTACAGATAATTGAGAAGAATGCAGAAATAAGAAAGAAAAGTGTACAGAGTTGGGAATCCCTCATGAGGGAGAATCTGTAGAGATGCAGGATAAGACACTGGGAACTGGTCAAGTAGGAACTGTGGCAAGCTCTGGGGCATTTTCTATATCCCTGGAGTATGTAGAGGTTTTGAAAGAGTAGAATCGATTAAGAGCTCTGGAATGAAAAGAGGAAAATTAAAATGGAAGCAAAGCAATTTAAACTTGAGGAAAACTGAAGTAGAAAAAATCAATTTTGAGAGGGATATGCTGAAATATGAGGATATGTGGCGGGGAAAAGAGCAAAAACTAGAGGAAGAGAGAATCCAAGTAGAGGGTTTAAACCCACCAAGCATAATGCCCATAGATTTTAATTTGTATGTGTTAGGTTAGGGAAAGATGTTCAGTTGTCTTGGCTACTTTTGAGAAAGCTGCCCCATATTGGAATATTCCTACCACACAGTTAATCAAATACCCACCCAACGCCATAAAGGGGCATCTCGCAGAAGCTGGTGAAAGTTCCCCCTCAGGCAAAGTGGTAAAATATGAAGATTTTACACTGGCAGTATAGGACAGGTTCAAGTTAGGGCCTGATCATTTGAGAAAGAGATTGATTCAGTCTGGGAAGTTGTAGGTAGCCTTTGAGGGCAAAACTGGGAGATCATTTTGGCAAATGGATTACCTCACCCAAAGGAGATACGGCTGAAAAAGTACGGGATCTGAAGATACTTGACAAATTCTAATGCGACCTTCCCTCCAGTATTGAATTTCTTGTCAAGGAAAAATTACCTCAGGATGTTGCCCAAGCAGCAGAGTGGGCAGACTAACAAAGTGACTGTTCTTTGGAGTCTTGCCACCATTAAGACCAACAAAGGTTTATTCAAGGTATGAGCTTCCGTGTTGACACTTTGTCAAATACATTAGAATGGCAGACAAGGTTCAAACTTATAGCCAGAGAATGAGCAGGAAGTGGCGGCTGTTAGGGAACGGAGCGCCAAGGGAATAAGAAACATTACAAGCGAGATTTCTGTGGAGAAGCTGTTTGGGGAGGAAAAAGTGCCGGATGCAGAAGCAGCAGAAAACGGAAGGAGGGTAGTGACGGAGCTCAATTTCTGCAGGAGCCAAAGTCTGACCCCAGCCTTAAATTAGCCTCTCCGAATTTCCACTGAGCAAACCAGAATTGTGAACCAGAAACCCACAGTTGTCTTTGAGCCAGCGTGGGAAGCAGAATCCAAAATAGGCCACTGAGATGGTGGTGTTCTGTTGTCAGACTCCGGTCTCTCGGGGAGATCCGACTTAGCAGGACACCTACTGGGTGACCCTGTGCCAGCCTTTCTCAGCCTCAGAGGGGTTTTGTGAGGATAAAGTGGGGGGGGGAGCTCTATGCATCCCTCTCAGTTCCTTGAAGGAAGGGCTGGCTAGATGGACTCACCCATTCCTTGGCCTGCGGCTTTTGCTGTTCAGGTGCCCCTGGCCTGGCCAGAAAGGCCTCCCCCATACCTGGATTGTAGGGCGTGGCCCTGGCTTCTCCCTCACCTGCTCTCCAAAAAGGCAGCTGCAGCAGCAGCAGCTTCCGGAGTCTCAGGCTTGGCTTATGTTGCAAGCCTCCAGTGGGATCTGGGCCAAGGATTCTGCTGAAAAAGCACCTGATCTTTGCATGGGGGCAGGGAGAGGCAGGGGGGGCTGGCACTGAATTCTTGCATCCTTCAGTCTGTGGGGAGGGGGCATTCTCCCCACCCCTTTGTTGGTTGTCGGGGGTGAGTGGGGGAGCTGGAGGTGCCTTGCAAGACAATTTCACACTCCCAAGTATGTTGTGCTCCTGGCTGGATTCGACAATAACTGCAGGGAGTTGTGTTTCCATCCTCTGAAAATGCAAGAAAAACCTCTGGGCTTTTCAGGCAGTGATAACAGAACCACCTGAGCTGGGGGGTGGATTTTGGAACACACACACACCCAGCAGCCAGCCCCCTATAATTCAGGGCCTAGATTAAACTCAACCACTGCGTTAGATAATCTGTGCACAATCACTCACTCAACTGTTCCACAGGACTAAGAAGCCCCTCCCTCCCCCCAGTCTTTGGCCTCAGCCCCAGAGCCTGGGGTTCAGAACGTGCCCTCCACTGCAGGGGTGGTGCTGGCCGGGGCGAAAAAGGTCAGAGGAGACAGGCCAAGATCACAGTCAATGCAAGGGGCACTCCGCACGGATTCCTGCTCCTAGCCCCGTGGGGTGGGGGTCCTGCCGCCCTCCGGCACCCGCCCGCTACACACCACACAAGCGGAGGGGACGGAGTTCAAATCCCACCTTCGTCGCCAGTGAAAAGTACTGAGACTTACTAGTGATTTCAGCTCTCATACTTTATTTCAGCTCAGAACAAGACGAGAGTACCCAGCTCATATGTACACAAACCCCACTCCCCAAACACACCCACACACAAGTGGTTGGCTATTTACAGTGGCTGAGAGTTCCATAGGCTCTCGGCCAGGAGCCTACCTGGCCTAGGATCCGCTTGTCCCATTATTACTGAGAGCCAGTCGCCTGACCGTGTAGCCAAATGGCTGGCGCAAGCCGTCTGATATGGATACATTACACTTCCGCTTCCCCTTCCTCCCCTCCAGCAACAACCTTTGCACGGCCGCCTCCTACAGCCCCCCCCC